TATACGCGGTGTAATAAAGTAAAAGGTACTCGAAACAATGAAATTTGTCGATTAATTAAAAAATTTTAATTTACCACGCGATTTCGTGTCCGGTTTGCAGCTTTTAATAAAATTAAGATTTTTCGTGCTCTCAATGGCGTTACTGGGGTTGCCTTTCGATCTTTGCAATTAACGAATTGATTGGGTACAATGTAAACGTCGTTTTGCAAGTTCAAGTAACCATCGAATCGATTAAAATTTCATTTTGCCCCAGTTTACGGCTGAAATAATAAAAAAAAAAAATCCCAAGCTCTAAGCCACAAGCGATTGTAGTCGATCGTTGAAAATTCTCGACTGGAATTTCCCTATAAAACTCTTTAAAATTTTCAAAACCAATGATGCACTTTTAAAATTATATTACATACAAAATTTTTACTCTACGTACACTATTTATTTATTCCCCATTTGCTCTTCTTTAAGCGAAAAGATTGCAAAAAATATTTAATTTGAATATTAATAAGCTTACTAATTACTTCCTTAAGTCCCCTAAACGATGATATGTATAATTTGACATTCACTCATTTTGACGACATATTTTATTACATCGTACTGTAATAAAACGAAAACGGTTGTATCGTAGTGCAACCATAAATCAGTATTAAATGAAATTTTACGACACCCACAATGCCGTTATAATAACGCGTATAAAAAACTGCAGTATTAACCGTCCTCCAAATTTCAGTTCATCCACTTCACCTCCAGAACACGAAAGAGTGAACGCAATTCGTTAAACGATCCCCTTCCCACCCCTAATCCATTCGACGAGTCGTGCACCCGTAGGAAAAGAAAAGCGCCATATGTACCGTTCTCTTCTGTTGCATAAAACGAATTTCATTGATTAACCGGTAGAGCGGAGCAACGAAACCCAAGATCACAGAGCCCTCTATCCTGATCTCTCTAAAGTCCCATTACCTCTACACACAGACGGGTGGCTCTCCTCCTGTACACAATAAGCTTAACGACTCGATATAACAACTTCCAATGTGGATTATAAAAATATTAAATCTTCTGTAATACCAACTAGTTAACCCTATATGATATGTAAACTCACGGACCAATGTGATCCATGCAACGGGGTCCGCGGAACTGGTCGCCCCACCACTGACAGGCTAAGCCTACCCCCACCACTGACATGTTAAGCCTACCCCCACCCCTCTTACCCGAGAGCGAGCGTTCCACAGGACCCGCGCCTCTACTTTATTTTGGCCGGCGTTACTTTCTGTGAACAGTATCTGTCCGTCCGTCCGTTCGTCCGTCTGTCTCCACTGTCCGTAGTATACCTGGTGCACGCGCTAGTGCGCGAGTTCCCCCTCCCTATCTGTGTACGTAGCGAGATGTAAGTGTAGGTTGGGATGTTCGGTAGAACAAGACGTGCGGTCTTGCGCGCAGCCACGCGGAGGAACGGGTAACAGCATCGATGGATCATTCTGCTCTCTTACACGGGGAGATCGATCGACCTAAATACCCCGCAGCCGTACAATGTGCTCGAATTTCGTTCGTTCGCCACGAGAATCGACGGACAGACATCCGGCCCTCTGAGTAACGACCCAGCCGGAATCTACTCTCCCACGCTTGGTCTGCGATAGGCGCTCCTCTGGGATACACGTGGCCGTGACTGATATCGGCCATCGGCTTCCCCCACTCCCCAGCCTTCCGCGCTAACCTAACCTCCCGATATTTCTACGACGATTTTCGCTGCTTTCGCCTGTCCGATCGATTCCCCACGCGCTCGCTAATTTTCTTCGCTCGCCTCGATCATCTCGTTACCCACTCTCGCGCCAACGTTTAATCAATTCTGCGCCTGCTGATCATCACGCCTGTCGAGCTAATCGCCCGCCTATCGGATCGCGCGTTGGTAAGGTTGGTACGAGTGACTCTTGGCTACCCATGGGTCTCTCTGGCGAATTTAGAGGTTGTGTTAACCCGTTTGATACTTACGGTTTTGGACACGACTATTTTCACATATTATGACTTTTATATACATGCTTAATTTTTTTTAATGAATAATAATATTATTCTTTGTATTGGCGAATACAAATACGTGATCCAAGTTAAGAATTTTGCACGTTGGTCTGTGTTTTATCACGCAGGAATACTTTCTAAGGTTATTCCGCGTATGTTGTTTTTAATCGATTTTTGCTATTTTTGATTATATGTCTTAAATTTTAATTGGCAGATAATAATTTTTTTGTATGTAAAACAAAATACGCTTTGGAATAAGATATGAAGTCAAGTGCAAGGTTATGTTCATTTTTAGAAAACAATTTTAGATGATACTTTTAATGCTTTAGAAAAATCGTATTTTTTCAGGTATTCCTAAATACCAGAAAAATATACCATAAAAAATGTACCATAATGTGCACTCTGTAGAAATGAATATGAAAGTACTAGTTCAATCTATGTTATATGTTTCATATGATGTATGGTACTGTGTGCGTTAAGTATAATTGTGGTGTTTTTAGGTATTTTTGAATGAACGAGTTTGTTCCATGTTTCAGTTTAAATTATAGGTATTCCTGTATCCATGAAGTAACAGATATTATCAGAAACATATAACATAGTTACCAGTTGATTTCTTCCCTGAGATTGGCTCAATTTTACATTGTTGAAGCTTTGGTCATTGATAAATGTGAGATTACTCGTATTCGCATTCCAGTCTCTCTTTCTCTCTCTCAAATAATTTTTCCTCTCTCTTACCATCTCTTTTAATCCCAATTTTTTAAAAATTAACGCCACCGAGTTAATTTTACTTAAAACTCATAAAATTCACTTTTCATACAAACTTCATTTTTCTTTTGCAGAAATTAACTCTCTCATGTTAATTTGCTTATTAATAATAAAATTTTCGTTAATATTAATCTATACCAATTTTCTTTCATACCAATTTCATAGAAATTAATTCCACGGTGGTAATTTACTAAAAAAATATTTTTTCAGCCATTTTGGCAGAGATTAACTTTTTCCACGCCAATTTAATTTAATATTTATTCCCCTCCTATCATAAAAACAAAAAAATTCATTTCTTTGACTGATAAAAGCCAACGAGACCTTCGTTAGAACCCTGGCCATCGATCAGTTACCACGAAATTTTGATCTCCGTCGTGTAATAGCAAAGTTCAAGGTAGCCGTTAGGAAGAACAAATGGCACGTTAACAGCTGCACCCTTCGAGAGGGAAACTTTTTTTCGAGGCATCGATCGTGGGCAGAAATCGGTCCCGTTGGCGTTGCACCCGGCGGCAACTCGAAGCAATTAGCACGCAAGGACGAGCGACTGAAACGCGAACACGAGAGGGGACTCAGGATCTCCGATAGTAATGAAGAGTCCTGGCCGGGGCACATATCCATTAAATTGCATGCACTCGATTTAATGGCTCGACTCATTGCCACGGCCTCTTCAACGTCCACTCGAGTTCGAGCGTCCTGTTCGAAGAGGCAGCAGAATTGTTGCACCTTTTCAAGAAACCATATCACCTCCCTCTCATCACCTACCAGAGAGACCCATTCCACCTCTTGGCCCTTTCAACGAATCTTTAATTGCACACTAAAACCTAAAGAATTCTATGGAGACCCAGAGATAGTTACTGTAAATTTTATAAATTGAGAATAGTTCCAATTATGAGACCAAGTTTCTGAGTCTAATTTTGTGTTTTCCTTCCAGGTCTCCAATCTTTGTGTTAGTCACATGATCAGTCAGAAGTGGATTCTATGGAGACCCAGAGATAGCAACTGGATATTTTATAAACTGAGAATTGTTCCAATTATGAGACCAAGCCTCTAAGTCTACAATCCTTGCCTTAGTCACATGATCAGTCATAATCAGGATTCTATGGAGACCCAGAGATAGCAACTGGATATTTTATAAATTGAGAATTGTTCCAATTATGAGACAAAGTCTCTAGGTCTACAATCCTTGCCTTAGTCACATGATCAGTCATGATCAGGATTCTATCCAGTCTATCAGGATTCTAGACCCAGTCTTTCAACGAATTTTTAATGGCCCACTAAAACCTAAAGAATTTTGTGTTTTCCTTCCAGGTCCCCAATCCTTGCCTTAGTCACATGATCAGTCATAATCAGGATTCCATGGAGACTCAGAGTCTCTACTAACTGAAACTTTTATAAATTTCACGTATTCGAGCACATTGACGTTTGAGAGAGCCTAACGTTTTATCAGATACGTGTTACCCGTTTCAAGTATTACAGCTAATCAGTAAGATATAAAAGGTACTCATCCTGATCAGCTTTGATTCGTCCCACGATGAGAAGAGCCAGTTGTAGATGGAGTTGTTCCAGAAGGTACTCAGGAAAACAGCAGGAAGGGCGTGAACGACGATGCTACTTGCAGGTAGCATAGTTGCCAACGTGTTACATCTTGAACGAAAAGATACTGGTCTTGAGATTCGTGAATTCCTATCACGAAGATGGCCCCATCCTCATCGGCAGGACGTTCACTTGATCCGCTGTTAAATCTCGCGATGTTTCCTTTCATCAGCCACGGTGTACTTCTTAATTTACCCCGTTCGATTCCCTGGACGATGTTCAGCTAATTCCAAGGAAGAAGTTTGCCACGTAATCCCCGCGGATCGAGATTTTCGAGGTGCTCCGTAGCAATTACAAGCTTCCTTTATCGTGTCAAGCGCAGGAACCTTGCTCGCGTTCGCTTTGTTAAGAAGTTCTCCCGGACCAGCCGAGTTTGCCTCGGAACGAACCTATTCTCTCGCGCTGACCTATCAATTCTTCACCGTTCCACTCCTCGGGGTACGTCCAGAGCTGGTGGAGCCTCGAGGGACCTTCGTGATATCCATTTCAACGAAAGAACGTTACGAATCTCGCGCAAAATCTCTGTATTCGGCATAAACGGAAACCCAAACAGCTTGTTGGTGGAACGTCGTGGCCCTCTGGCGGCTGCGCGCATGAACTGCGATGAACTTCGGGGCGATCAAACCACTTCTCTACGACGGTTATTCCTCAGGCCAGCCGAGATCCTCGCCCACGAGTTCGTAGAAACGTTGGTTGTGCTCGTTGAAGAACCTCCTCAGCTTGGTCACCACTATCGGGTTGACCCGCGGATGACGTCTGCCTTTGCTCTCCTTCAGACACTTCTCAGACGTCTCGTTACGCAGGCAGTAGAAGCCTTTCGTATGGTTGAAGTAGAAATTGTGTCTGCCGATTCGTGGCTCCAGACCGAGGAAGTTCTCGATCCTGCGTAACTGAGGCACAGGGTCCTCGATTAGCTGGTCACCGTTCACTATGAGGATTTGCTCCCTGGAGAACACTTCCAGCCACCTGTGCATGTACGTGTGGTACAGGGAGATGGCCACCGGCCTGTACGACTCGTTGATGCTGCCGTCCGGTCGTATCACCAGCTCCTCGAAAGTTCGAGCAGCCTGCTGCTGTTGCTGCTGTTGCACGCTACGCGGCGTTCCGTTCGTCACCGTGGATGCTGTCGCTGCGTGAATTCGCAGCTGAGTGTAGTCTGAGATCGCTCTGGTCACTGGCTCACGGACTATCAGCAACAGCTTTACACTCGCGTTCATTGCGCGGATTCTTTCAGGTACCTGGAACAGGAGATTGAGAAACTATCGTTAGGTGGATAGTGTGAGGGGTTTGCTAAGCGAGGGCTAGGTCACGAGTCTAACTCTCGGTGGCCGATTCGATATTCTTCTCTTCGCTATGAGGTACGCTGCGTTGCTGAAAAGAAGTTATCTCGTTCGACTGCGCGGCAAGAGGGGTATTGCACTAGTACCGCCTATACTCTCGCTAGTAATACCCAATTTTCTATGACACTCCCAAAAGTACTATCTCCAAGTTCGCTAACGTGATACGTTAACATAGGCGTAAGATATCCGCGAAAGAAATGTTATCTCAGAGTTAACTTGCAATGAATTGGAAGCACTACTACGCCAGGCAATAAACGAAACGACACCGAATGATTGGAAAGGATTTTGTAAACACGTAGAAACACTGGAACACGAATATTGGACGAAAGATGGAATAATAGAAGACGCAACTGAAGACCTAGAATTGGAAATACAAAGCAGTGAGTCGGATAAGGAATCAGATGACAGTAGCTCAAAGATTTATAAAGTAAAGAAGTACAAAAGTAATAATAATTGACATCATTTATGCAAATTGATTTAAAATTTAAGATGTATTTTTTACGATAAATTAATTATGCAATTGCATCGTACTAGATAACCGTTTAAAAAAATCACACGATACAACATAAATATAAAAAATATGCGTATAGTGCATCACGTTTGCTGCATAATGCAATGAATAGTTAGTCAAGATGCTAATTAGTAATTAGTAATTGCAAATAATCACGTGTTCATCGGAAGAATCTGAAGTTAATATGCTTTTGGGATGAGTCTACGCTCTTGCATCTATTTGTTGCGTCTGTCTCACTTTGTCTCGTTGCTTCGTTCGCTTTCTTTGTCACATGGTGTTCTATGACCGGGCTAATAGGAAGGGATCAGTTCTACCAATAAGGGAAGCGTTTTACTCTACTTCTGCTATGATGTTAGAATGGTTGGGCTGGTGGGGATTCGGTCCTACAAGTTTCTCAGATGACTTCTTTTCAGCAACGCATAGTAGTTATAGTATAGTTTTGATAATAAAATACAACTTTTTCGAAATTTTTATTTCGACACCTTAACAAGGTAGAAGGTGTGAATAAAGTAAAGAAATTAATAAAGGGAAATTTCTAAGGAAATAATGTATTATATTATTGAAGAAATGATGTGATCAGTTTTATATAGTGCAAACAATTTTATTCTATTTTCCATAAAATGCAATTATCACTCCACGCTGCAATCAATGTTGCTGAATAATGAAAACAGATTAATTATTCTGATGACTAATTTGTGTAACTTTGTCAGGTTTGCCCTCGATTTACTACGTAATTCCATTGTTTCATAATAGATTACAATGTGGCTGGCTTATGGTAATCCACGAAAGATTGGTGCTAGGTTCAATCAAGATTAGATCAACTTCGTTAATTAGTAATTAATGGAAACTTCAATTTCCACACGAGAGTAATATAAAATTTATAAAGTATAAAACAAGCGAATATAAAAATCGATTTTTAGAATATTACGGTATTATAATTTTGGAATTCCATAGAATTAGAATATTAGTGTCTTTTAGAAATAAAATTTTGTAAGTACCCAGGTTTAAAAATTTCAGAATTCCACGCAAAGAAAGTTTTAGAATTCTATAGAATATAAATTTCAGAATTTATAATACTATTCGAGTTTTGAAAGCTTTTCTTATGGAGTAAAAATTTTGGAATTCTGTAAATTTTAGAATTTTAGTTTTAGAATTTTACAGAATCCAAATTTTGGAAATTTAGGATTCCACGGAATTAAATTTTTAGTTTTAAAATTTAACAGAATCAAAAATTCAGAATTTTAGAATTTCACAGAATTAAAATTTGAAAATTTTGTAGATTTTGGAATTTTAGAATTTTCCAAAATTAAATTCGCAGAATTTTAGAATTTTAGAATATCACAGAGCTGAAATTTTGGAATTTTGTAGATATTGGAATTTTAGAAATTTAGAATTTTACAGAATCAAAATTTTTGAATCTCAGAATTCCACAAAATTAAACTTCGGAATTTTACAAATTCTAGAATCCTTAATTCTCTATCTAACTTATAATTCATAATTTTGATGCATAATAAATAAATAAAAATACATTAAATACAAGTCATATTTTAATAACTGATTTAGAATAAAATTTCTTATTATCGTTTGACGAATTTATTATTAAAATAAATAAACTTGAATTATTAAAGTAAACCAAATTTTTTTGAAAATTAAATTATACATGATAATACACGCTATAGTTGGTTACCAAAAATGTGCCACTTTGCATTGTGTCAAGTTGTGTATCCTATATAATAATATCTCCTGTGGTATGTAGAATTTCACGGGTACACGCTGTTTATGTTTGGAAATTATGCATAAATGTGAGTTGCATGTTATTTAGTAGTAACGCTAAAAGCAAAAATGTGTTCGTAGTGGGCAGCATTACCCGTGATTACATTCAGTAATGTTTTTATCAGGTATTTTATAAAATGGCTATTTCAACAAAAATTACTTAATAATACAGGATTTATCCTAATTTTGAGAAATGAGTGGACATTATCATCATAGTAATTTCTTCTTGATAGAACCCTCTATTCCTACCTTATATTTTCCTTTCATAAAATACCTCTAATGAATAAGTATAAATATCTAATTTTCTAATTTTCAATTTCAAATTAATTATTTGTAGAAAATTGTTTTGCACGTGAGATACATTAACTATAAATTAATAAAGAGCAATTTGAATTAGTAGAATTGCAAAAGTAAATTTGAAATATTATACAAAGATGAATTAAAACATTTATGATTTAGTATTAATTAAAATAAGAATAATAATAATAATGATACAATTATTTCAAAGAGACATTAAAAATTATAGTGAACATTTAACAAATTGACACAGGAAACCAATAAATACAATAAATAAACAATTAATAAAAATCAATTTGCATATTTTAATTAAAATGTTGATTCTGAGTTAATTTTTTAATAAAATCTAATTCCAGGCATTACTGATATAATAATAATAATAGGATTTAATAATTATAACAATAGGATCTAAACAATTTTATTTAAATTATTTTTAATT